AGAGAGAGAGAGTGTTAATAGGACCTCACATCCTCATTAACCTCGCAGCTGATGATAATTACCGAGGCGAGATAATGAACACAACAACTATCATTGGTTCACCGAGGAGGAGCCAGATGAGAGAGAGAGAGAGAGAGAGAGAGAGAGAGAGAGAGAGAGAGAGAGGAGAGAGAGGAGAGGAGAGAGGTCGAGAGTAAAAGAAGAAAGATCGTAAGATGAGAAAGCGAAGTAGATGAATCAATCTTACGTTAGGCAGAAGATTTTCACGTGCAAAAACGCACTCTTTTACGATGGTCTTTATTGGTTATGATTATTGATTGTCGGGGCGATGAGGGGTCATGGGTGAGGGGCGAGGGACGGTGAGGGGAGGTGGTGGGGAGGGAGGTGGTGGGGAGGGGACGTGGTGGGGAGGGGGTGGGGTGAGGGGACGTGGTGGGTGAGGGGACGTGGGGTGAGGGGTGGGGGCTAGGGGGGGACGTGGTGGTGAGGGGTGGTGTGAGGGACGTGGTGATAGAGGGGGGTGGGGGTTAGGGCGGGGTGAGGGACGGGGTGGTGGTGGGAGGGGTGGGGATAGGGGCAGTGGGGTGAGGGGACGTGGGGTGGTGGGAGGGGAGGTGGAGGGAGGTGATGGGAGGGGATGTGGTGGGAGGGGTGGTGGGGTTAGGGCGCAGGGGTGAGGGATGGGGTGAGGGGAGGTGGTGGGTGAGGTGGTGGGTGAGGGGACGTGGTGGGGTGAGGGGACGTGGCGGTGGTGAGGGGTGGTGGGTGAGGGACGTGGTAGGTGAGGGGTGGTGGGTGAGGGGACGTGGTGGGGAGGGGTGGTGGGGTTAGGCAGTGGGTGAGGGACGTGGTGGGAGGGCGTGTTTAGGGGCAGTGGGGTGAGGGGACGGGTGGATGAGGGGAGGTGATGTTGGGAGATGGCAGTAAAGTGAGGTGATGGTGAGTGGTGATGAGGAGGAATGAAAAGAGAGGAATGGTAAAGAGAGGAATGAAAAAGAGAGGAATGGTAAAGGGGAGACGATACAGAGTGGTGGACAGGGGATAGACAGAGAGGGTAAATTGGTAAGATGAGGGGAACTAACAACTGATAAACGACCACCATCTTTACGACTGACTGACCGACTGTGACTCACTGACTGGACTGACTGACTGACAGGGGAGACGACTGTAGCAGCACTGACTGTCCTCATGATGGAGAGAGAGAGAGAGAGAGAGAGAGAGAGAGAGCGCGCAGATGGTTGGCCAAGAGGAGAAATATCTGGCATTACAATGAAAAGTGATAATGTTATGGGAGGATGAGGAGAGGGGTCAAGGGTCATGCATTGGCCTCATCACCGCCACCTGGTCCTTCACTACCGCCTCTCGCCCCCTAATTACTATAATAATGGCCTACATGTATTATAATTAAGCGCCAATTAATATCTGATTATGGTGTGGTTTTGTGTGTATATATATATATAATCATTAAAAATACACACACACACACGCACGCACACACACACACACACACACGCACGCGCAAGGCACACACACAGCACGCGCGCGCACACACACACACACACACACACACACACACACACACACACACACACACACACACACACACACACACACACACACACACCCAAACATGTTTCAATCACACATAAATAATTAAACCGTACTCTCCATCTGGGTCCTGAAGACACTCAAGTCAACAGCGACAAAGAACTCTCAAGACGCACTCATTGTATAAAAGAAAACAAAACAACAAGAAGCGAAACTCCCGAGATAAGTCAAGGCAAGTTAGTTCACCCCGCAGCGAAACAGCGCCCCTGGTGGTCTGGGGGTGAATTAACAATGTCAACAAACCCACCCACGTGTTCTGCACCGTAAAAAGAAATCTTACTGTTCAACATCTTAGTTTAAGCATTCAGGTGTTTAATTAATCATCAGGTGAACTAAATTGGGGTTCCTAATCTTAACTTGTTTCATTCAACTCTCCTAATCCCCCCCCGCCCCCCCCCCCTCCCACACACTTTCCACTTAAGTGTCTGTGCTGGACAGCCTCCCAGATCACTTCACCCCTCCTGCTGGATCACATCACGGCGCTGGCTTCAAACTTTGTCGAAGGATACCAAGAGTCCTTGAAGGATTTTTTTTTTCCTGGGGATTCAAAGGACTGGAGAGACACATACTCAGTTGTTTATGATAAGTGTGGTGAGTGTGTGTGTGTAGTGTGTGTGTGTGTGTTGAAGATCTATCTCTCACCCTCCCAGACATAATCAACATCAGGCTTCCTTGACAATAATCCTGTTATTACGAGTCATTATTGCTACTATACAATCACACACACACACACACTTCTCCTCCTCCTCCTTACCGCAATTATTTCCTTCTCCTCCGCCTCTATCATCCTGAAACTCCCTCCCTCTTCCACCTTTCTCTGTTTCCATTTGCACCCATCCCTCCCCTCCTTACTCCTCCTCCTCTATCCATACACCTCATTTCCCTCCCTCCTCCCTCACCCCAGCAGCAGCAGCAGCACCACCACCTCCCAACACAAGGTAAACCATCAAATATTCATCGCCCGGGGGAGGAGGAGGGGGTGAGAGGGGTGTGACAAGTGGAAGCAACAATGACGAGTCAAGTGATCAGTACCAGAAGGGGGCATCATCGTCTCCTTGCTCCTCGTCTTTCGTCCCTCCTCCACCCACCAACATACACACTCACTCACCTACCCACCCAAGCTAATGGACGAAGAAAGGAGGGGGGGGCCAGGAAGGAAAGGCGGAGAGTGGTTGGGGAGGGGAGGGGAGGGGGTAAGGAAGGGAGAGGGAGAGGAATTAGCAAGTTAGATGATAGCCACAAGTTCCTTCATTTCTCCAACTTGGGTTAAGACAACTCGACCAACACCACAGATAAGAAGAACGACACAGCGATGAGAAACAATACTGAGAGAGGCGGCGGCGGCGGCGAATTCATTACCTACACCTTGGTTCTAACCCTTTGATGGCTTCTGTGACCTCCTCCTCCTCCTCCTCCTGCGACCTGCTTCTCTTCCTCCCTCTGCGACCTGCTTCTCCTCCTCCCTCTGCGACCTGCTTCTCCACCTGCTCCTCGTCCTTCTGCGACCTGCTGCTGCTCCTCCTTCTACGACCTGCTGCTGCTCCTCCTTCTGTGACTTAATCTTCCTCCTCCTCGTCCTTCAGTGACCTCTTTTTTTTCTGCGACCGACTCCTCCTCCTGCGACCTGCTCCTCCTCCTGCGACCTGCTCCTCCTACATCTCTCGTATCGAATTTGTGTGGTTTCCGTCCCATGTTGGAATCAGGTATCATGACCGTGCTGATAGACTCGCCAATGAGGCATGTAAGAAAGAAAATGTTGACCGTGACCTTGGCCTGTCCACTGCTGTACTTCAAGACATTCAAGTCAGAATCATGAACTCTGATCTAGAAGAACTGAGACATACAGAGAGACCTGGCAGTTGTAGCATTAGTAAATATGACAAATTTTGTGACAAGAGGTACCGGTATGGCCAGCATAAGGACAGAACCAGACAATGTGATGTAGTCGTGGCCAGAATTAGGCTAGGATACAGACACATCTGGCAAGATAGTAACGCTGTACCCATACCGGAACACTCAGCATGTAAACTTTGTGATAAACCTTTAAAGCATACACCTGAACACTATATTATTGAATGTGACACTGTCAAAGACTTCAGGCCACCTGAATCGGGGGTGCTTGAGGACATTCTTGCTGTTTATCCCAAATTTGCTAGCCCACACTGATTAGTCTTCAATTAGAATATGACGTCCAATGTATATGAACCACTGACCTGCATGGCAGTGAACAGTGACGTCACCCACATGACTCTGACCTATATATACTGTTAATGAATATGATGTATTTCTTTGTGTATGAACCTCTGTCCTGCGTGGCAGTGAGAAGTGATACCACCCTCAGTGTCAAGACCTGACTGACTTACTCATAATAGGCAAACTGTACTCCAAGCTTTGTCAATAAATTTGTTAAACTAAAACTCCTCCTGGGACCTGCTCCTGCACTGCCACTACTGTTACGGTGATATTCGCTTCTACCGTTAGTCTCATTGTTGTTCCTCTCTCTCTCTCACAACATTTCTATGGCTTGCACCCCAAACCCCCTTAAAAAGAAAACGTTCTCCCTCCCTGCTGTTACAAACTGTCGTCACCTCTGAAGATTCTCCCCCCACCTCTCTTCACCACCCCTCGCCCCTCCCCCCCCCAAAAAAAAACGTTTCTCCTCTGCACCAAAACGTTTGTGACGAAAAACAAAATAAAAAAACAAAAATAAAACAAAAAACAAAACAAAAAACATAACAAAAACACAATTCCGGGTGTCTTAAAAAGCGTTCTTTGATTCTTAAAAGATTCTGACGTAATTTTCTCCCACGTCTTTCTCATCTCTTTAGTGTTGGTGTTGGAGAATTAGCTGACGAGCCCACTTCAAGCTACAACAATATGGTAATGGTGGAGGGAGGTGGTGGAGAGGTGGAGGAAGGTGGTAGAGGAGCTAGAAGGAGCTAGTGGAGGGAGCTAGTGGAGGGGTGGAGGGAGCTAGTGAGAGGCTTTAAGAGGGTTCTTCTGGGCAGTGAGAGGCTCTAAAGAGGGTTCTCCGGGGTCATGAGAGGCTCTAAGAGGGTTCTCCGGGGTCATGAGAGGCTCTAAGAGGATTCTCCGGGGTCATGAGAGGCTTTAAGAGGGTTCTTCTGGGCAGTGAGAGGCTCTAAAGAGGGTTCTCCGGGGTCATGAGAGGCTCTAAGAGGGTTCTCCGGGGTCATGAGAGGCTCTAAGAGGGTTCTCCGGGGTCATGAGAGGCTCCAAAGGGTTCTGGGTCATGAGAGGCTTTAAGAGAGTACTTTGGGGCAGTGCTCTAAGAGGGTTCTCCGGGGTCATGAGAGGCTCTAAGAAGGTTCTCCGGGGTCATCAGTGACTGAAGAGCTCCAAGAGACTCTAACAGAACTTAGTGGAGCTCTATGAGGCTCACAGGAAGAATTTCAAGACCCTATGAGCACCCAGAAGCTCTAAAGGGTTCTCTCGGGGGCTCTCAGAAGCCCCAAGACTCTATCACAGGGCTCAGAGATTATCGAGGACCCCCAAAAGCTTCCGGAGGCTCAGAAGAGACTCTTAATAAGCTCCCAGCGCACACACAAAAAAGAAACCTCCCACAGATTCTTAGGCACTCACAACAGCGTCCGCTTTCTCTCTTCCTCACTCTCTTCTCCTTTCTTCCCTTCACTCTCTCTCTCTCTCTCTCGGGACTATCAGCAGTCAGCAGGTGCCAGTAGCCCCAGCTGTCCTGATGATTGCTTACGGTATCTTTCTCTCTCTCTCTCTCTCGTTCTTGTCTTCTCTCTCTATTACCTATTACCGCGTTGTCCCTATTACCACGGCCTATTACAATGTAGTATCTCCACGTCCTCCCAATTTAGTAACGTTTCATATTTTGCCTAATTCCCCATTTATCCTCCTATTTCGGTCAAGTGATGGTGAACACAAGTGATGGTGAACACAAGTGATGGTGACACTACACACAAACGCCTGCAGCTGATGTGTCATTAATCCAAGTCTCCTCCTTACGCCCACCTCCCCACCCATCCACTCACATACACACACCCACTTACCCATACCACACCCTCCCTCACACTCTCACCCCACCCACACCCACAACCTCCCTCCCACCCACACATACACCCAACCTCCTCCCACCCACAACCTCCCACAACTACAACCTCCCCACACACCCACAACCTCCCTCCCCACCCACATACACCCATAACCTCCCACCCACCCCACACAACTACAACCTCCCCACACACCCACAACCTCCCACCCACCCTCACACACACTACAACCTCCTCACACACCCTCAACCTCCCACACACACCCACAACCTCCCTAATTACAACCTCCTCACACACCCCAACCTCCACACACACCCCAACCTCCCCACAACTACAACCTCCCCACACACCCACAACCTCCCACCCACCCTCACTAAACTACAACCTCCCTCACACCCACATACACCCCACCCACAACCTCCTCCCCACCCACACACACACAACCTCCCACCCACCCACATACACCCCACAACCTCCCACCCACCCACACATACCACAACCTCCCACCCACCCACACATCCCACAACCTCCCTCCCACCACACACACACAACCTCCCACCCACCCATACACCCACAACCTCCCACCCACCCACACACACCCACAACCTCCCACCCACCCACACACTCCCCACACCCACACACCCCACCCACAACCTCCCACCCACCCACACACACCCACAACCCCCACCCACACACACCCACAACCTCCACCCACCCACACACACCCACAACCTCCCACCCACCCACCCACAACCTCCCACCCACACACAACCTCCCCACACCCACAACCCCACCCACCCACACACCCAACCTCCCACCCACCCCCACACACCCACAACCTCCCCACCCACCCACACCCACCTCCCTCCCACCCACATACACCCACCCACTAACTCCTCCACAAGACACAGCAAGAGGGGCGTAAGCGACAGACAGATAAAAATGAGGATTCCAACGACTCCACTAACCAGCTGTGTCGTGGCTGCCTGCACCAGCTGGCGTCCTCTCACCTCCACTATTATTCTCTTTATCCTTGTCTATCTTTTTTGTAGTTTATCCCAAGTCTATCTTTATTGTAGTTTATCCCAAGTCTATCTTTATTGTAGTTTATCTAAGTCTATCTTTATTGTAGTTTTCCCAAGTCTTTTTATTATAGTTTATCAAGTCTATCTTTTTGTAGTTTATCCCAAGTCTATTGTAGTTTATCCCAAGTCTATCTTTATTGTAGTTTATCCCAAGTCTATCTTTATTGTAGTTTATCCCAAGTCTATCTTTATTGTAGTTTATCCCAAGTCTATCTTTATTGTAGTTTATCCCAAGTCTATCTTTATTGTAGTTTATCCCAAGTAACTTCCCCTCCCACAAACACACACACATGAACACTACCTCCAACACACACCAAACCCTCCCACATACACTGCCCTCAAGGCACGCACACACACACACACACACACACGCCTCCTACACAAACACATGCAAACCCACCCTCCCACACACACACACACACACACGTAATCAAGGCTCACAAAGCAAGTCAGGTTTTCTTATTTGCCAAACTATACAAGGCTTCAAAAATCGTAAATATTCGTAAAATTAAAACTCGGTTTGTATTTTCTCATTTATTAATTTTTTCTTCTTAAACACGTAACTCCAGGAAGATAATTATTTATTTATTTAAATTTGTTGAGATTTGGGTAGTTTCTTTTTCCACTTAGTTGACGCGTGGGTGGGTGGGTGGGTGTGTATATGTGTGTACGGAAGAGAGGAGAAAGCAAAGACAGTCGGAAAAAATGAAATGAAGAATGGAATACCGAGAGAGAGAGGAGAGGGGGAGAGACGATGCAAGACCCACAGATGAGAAAAGGAGATGAACATGATGAAAGGAGGACAAACGGAGGAGGAACAGGGATAAGGTATTGAGTAGGAAGGAAGGAAGGAAGGAAGGAAGGAAGGAAGGAAGGAAGGAAGGAAGGAGGAAGAGGGTATGGTGTGTAAATGGTATATGTTGCCTGAGATTCTGTTTTCAAGGTCTGCTAATAACACTCCTCCCACACCTGTAATCCTCCACACACGCGCGCACACACACGCGCGCGCACACACACAAACACATACACACACACAAACACACACACACGCGCACACACACGCGCACACACACAGGCACACACACACGCGCGCACACACACACACACACACACACACGCACGCACGCACGCACGCACGCACACACGCGCGCGCGCGCAAGGGCATCGGCTACAGGTTAGGTCGTCCAATAACTGGATACTTTTAAGTCGGATTACCAACCACTTCACTGTAGTCAGGGGCTTCCTCTCTCTCTTGCCTTACCTTCCTCATTTCACTCTCCTTCCCTCCCTCCCTACTCTCCTGCTGTACCTTACCTACCTGCTCGCACCCACTCCACCTGCTGCACCACCTCCCTGCCGTACTTCACCTCCCCTGCTGCACCTTACCTCCCTGCCGCACTCCACCTCCCCCGTGCACCTTACCTTCCTTCCGTCAGGCCAAGGAAGAAACACGCCTCTCACTTTCCTCCTTCCCTCTCTCACTCTACTCCCTTCCCCTCTCTGTCCCCCTCTCTCCCTCCCTCCATGTCAGGCCAAGGAAATAAGCCTCTCACCTTTCCTCACCTCCCTCCCCTCACACCTAGGTTCATCCCTCACTCTGGTGTCACCTCTCACTAAAACAGGTCTGGCAGCTTTCCTCTATAGAGACAAATCATTCTATCTTGTTCATTAGTTTGTGGATTGTAATGTATTTTGAGAGAGAGAGAGAGAGAGAGAGAGAGAGAGAGAGAGAGAGAGAGAGAGAGTATACCGTACAAGACCTTTAGTACAGCAGAGTTGGGTGAGGTGGGTCACGGTCTGTCGCCCCTCACCACCCCCCACCCTTAGGTAACACCATAACCTGTAACACGTCACAATCCCTGTTCCGAATTATAGAGGTTCCTGTTCCGAATTAACGGGTTCACTGTACCGAATCAACGTGTCTATATTAACACCCTAAACACCTCCCTTTGACCACTACCACCCCCGGCAGGTTACCGCACCTCTTCTACAGGGTGCCCCGGTAACAAAGTACTAACAGCCGCTGAACTATTTCCCCAAAGTGTTCGTTAATGGTCGAGTGTCGGACAGTGTGTCTGGCCCACATCAGGACTACATAACTCACCTTCAGGTTCAACCCAGGAAGGGGGGTATAGTGACCTAACCTCGTATGATTCAATTCTCTCTCACAAAGACAAACTAGAAGAACAAATTGTATATCGTTGCCTCTTAATAAATAATCTTAATTTAATTCTTCTGATATATTTCTTTATTATCATTATTATTATCATCACTATTATTACTACCACTACTACAACTATTATTAACACTATTTTTACTACCACTATTATTCTCCCTAAAGTAAAACATTTAATAGCTATATACAATACTATATCAAGACGAGTTGTTCTATCATCCACCAGCCACAAAAACAATACCCCGATAACACCGACTTTTTGCTGAAGTAAATTGTCTCTGTTTGTCCGACACTTAGAGAAAAACTATTAATTTATATCTTTCTGTTGGTTCACACAGCCACCCACCAGTATAATTAAAGCAGACAACTCTTATTATTAGTGAAGGATATTGGGGGGGGGTTGACTGGTTAAAGCTTATTACTTGTAGTGGTCAATGGGGGTTAACGTTTAGTTTCTGGGCCAGTAGTGACAGGTGAGGTTCAGTTTCTGGGCTAGGAGTGACATGTGAGGTTCAGTTTCTGGGCTAGTAGTGACAGGTGAGGTTCAGTTCCTGGGCCAGTAGTGACAGGTGAGGTTCAGTATACAGTATATTCTATCCACTTCTTCAGAATACTAAACCACTTACCCCTCCTTCACCCCGCATCCACATCAAACAAGCCTACATCAATAACATCAACATTGCAAGTCATTCCTATAGATTGCAACACCGCAAGTACAGAACCTCTTGCAATGGTCATCACGGATTCTAGCAAGACCACTGTTTTTTTTACCCTTTAACTCTTACGCTTCTGTCACACACACACACACTACCTCGAGGATGTCTGTCTGCCTGTCTGTCTGTCAAGTTGTAGAATATTGATCTTGGGAACTTGGGTCTGGTTAACGATGCATAGACAAGAAAAGTTCTGTATGGAATTGATCTTTGCTGATATTTTAAGTTTTACGTAAATCCAAGATGAAAAGAAAAACAAGAGAGATCCTTCAAGAATTTGGTCTTAAATTCTCCTTAAAACTCCAAGATGGTAAATAATAACAAGGAATACTTTTGAGGAATTAACTTTTTTGATAATATTCGAGTCATTTATCTCCCTCCTACACCTAATTCCTTCCACCATACCCTCCTGTCCTGCTCCTCCGGTTAGTTTCAATATTATTCTTAAGTTGCAAGTTGCTCTCTCTTTCTCTCCTCTCTCTCTCTCTCTCTCTCTCTCATAAACCGAGTCTCATTCACTCTTTAATTTTCTCTCTCGCACACACACACACACACACACACACACACACACACACACACAC